GTATTTAATTAGTCCAAATCCGTTTGATTAAATAAAAAACAAACCGCTTTAATTAAATAGGAACTTATTAATTCGATAATTACTGTTAATTATTAAACTAATAGGAATTAATGATTTATAATTAATTAATTACATCTATTAATTACTAATAATAATTAATCACTGAAAATAAATAATTACTGATAATTAAGTAACCAACCTGGTTTAATTCATTTAATATCAAACCGGTTTCATTATATAGGAAGTTATTAATTCCAAGTGCTAATTAATTACTGTTAATTACTAAACTATTACTAATTAATGATTTTTAATTAATTATATCCTTATATTAATTATTAATACTAATTACTCACTGATAATAATTAATTACTGAAAATTTTTTCTTATAACAATTACTGCTAATACTTAATTGCTGATATTAATTATTTACTAATAATATTGCTAATTATTTAGGAATGAAAATTAATTAGTGATAATTAATATCGATTTTCATAAAGGTACATAATAATTCATAAATAGTCATTTTATATTTATATCAACTCATTTTATATATTTTTAACATAAATATTTAATGTTAATTATTTATATTATAATTCATACTTTTAGATGAAATAATTAAATATATTATTATTACCACTAATTATAATTAATACTATTATATTAATTAATTAATTAATATTAATAATAATAATATTATTATTATTATCAATAATGATAATTAATTATTATTACTAATAATGATTTGTGATTATAATTACTTATTGATAATTAATTCCTTATAATAATGATAATTATTACTTCAAAATGCTAATTAATTAATGATAATTAATAAGTATTTTAATAATTATTATTATTATTTGGGATTTAATCATTTTAAATTTATATTATTTCAAATAAATATAAATACAACTATAATCATATATTTAGTATTACTTATTTACAAGATAAAAATAATAATAATAATGATAATAATAATAATAATAATAATAATAATAATAATAATAATAATAATAATAATAATAATTTAATATTACTGATTTCAAAATCAATACACATATAATAAGAATATATTATTAGTAAATAATAGTAATAGTAATATACTTATTATTATTATTATTATTGATTTCATAATTATTAATATATTATTAATCTATATTACTCAATAAAGACATGGAATAAAAAATATTCAAATTATTACTAAATCAAAGAACTAAAAATCTATGAGTATTCTCATTGACGATTTTGGCACATCAACATGCCCAAAATTATAATTTCAACCAAGATTTCCTATTTCTATTAACCAATTCCCATAATTCAAACATACCATTAGATTATGTACAGGTTTCCCTACCAACAATATTGGTGATTTTGTTGTAAACATCCATCTAATTTTACTATTTTATAAATAGATTAATAATTTCAAAGTTATTGATACTTCTTTGGGGGTGGGTTGCTCAAGAGGGCATTGATTTTTTATTGTTAAATTGTAAATTACAAATTAAATAATACTATAGTTGCCCCTTACTTAGTATGGGGTTATTCTCTAGACAAAATATGGTAAGTCTCTTAAATCAAATAAAGAGCCTACCCTAAATGCCTATTATAAATAATTAAAAAATTGAAATAATTCAGATTAAATCAAATAATTACTTGCTGAAAATTACTGAATTAAGTAAATAATAATAACAATCAGTTATTTATAGAAATAATTAATAATAATAACAATCATCAAATACTTAATTAAGTAAATAATAAAAAATGAAATAACAATCATCAGATATCATTAATGTTTATTCAAAGTGAGGCCCATAATAATTACCGAATACACTAATTAAACCTTAAATAAGAATCAATATTTATTAATAGTAATTAAAATTGTTAAGCCAAATCATTAATGTTTAATCGTAAATGCAAAATATGAATTAACAAATCTGTTGTATAATAATTATACTTGGTTGGAAAAGAATATTTTAAGTAAATATTTAAATAATTATAAATTTAGTTAATATTATTACTATATAACAAAAAATTTAAATTAAATACTAAAATTAATAATAATAATAATGGTTAAATTAAAGTAATAAATGGTTCAAGTTGAATTTAATGACCCATATAATTTTACGAGTTTGACATATAAGGGTCAATTTATGTGGACCTGTAGACTGAATGAGTGTCTTAAAAATGGCAGTAATAAAAAATGGTAATAAAAATCATTAATGTTTATTCACACACACACACACACACATATATATATATATATATATAATTAACTTGCCCTATGGGTAAACTTAAACCATTGAGCCATTTAACAAATTACCAATCTTTTTATTTTTTATTTTATAAAAATGATCCATTGACCCATTAACCCCACAAGAAAAATGGTCCAACCTCCGAAATGGGTTTTCATAAGAACACTGATCTCAGTTCTTGCACTTCAAGATGAAGTTGGAGAAGACGTGTTACTTTTCTTTAAGCAGTTTTGCACTTCTGTTTGTGTAGGGATCTGCTTTCAAATCAATGCTCCCAAGACTGTGCCACATGCCACTGCAGTTGTACATTGGGAACATTCCATTGTTATTTCAAGGGGAGATGTTCCCCCATGTGTGACTGCACTTTTGTTAGGACAGTGTTGGGAGCTGTTTGTTGGTGGCAGATCTGAATTCCTGTTTGTCCTCTCTTTCTTCTGACTTTGGGCCTGAGCTAATAGAAAAGCAAGAGATCGGCTTCCATCAGGGTAAATCTGTGCCCATACCATTCTAACAGCCTTTTTTAACCTTGTGTTGGGAATATCTCCCCATAAAATAAAGTACATAAGTACGAGATATTCTCAATGCAAGGCAGTAAAGACTGTTCCAATGGGCTTTACCTTGACTGAAGTACAGAGATAAAATAAAACACATAATTCAAAAAGCAACAACTGTGACCCTATAATCTCGCTCTCTCTGTTAGAGATGTAAAAAGCTGGGGAGAAATAATGGTGAAGTCCAGGGGTGATAATGTCCCGGCTGGGCTTTGGGTCTATGCCACTATACAAGAGAAAAATACATGTATAACATTATATAACTTATTTTATGTAAGAAAAAACTTATGATTCTAAAAAGACATAATACTGGAAGGGCTTTGATCAATCAAAACCTCTATAAATTTTGATGAAAATCCATCTGATTGGTTACCACTTTTATGATATTAATTGATTAATTGTAAGTTTTTCCCGTATCATGTTTTTACAGTGTCATAGTTGAACCCTTAATCTAATATTAAATATTATCTATATATTATGTATTTTATTTTATTTAAATATATAAATAATATATTGTGTTTGGGCTGGGCTGAAATGATCACCTCCTGAAGACTGAACAAAACTGTTTCTCCAATCCTAGCCACTTGAATAGGATGCTGCTCTAAGTGCAACACTGTTTGTTGAATCTTGATGTAGGGGTTTGAGTGGAGACAATATTGACTATTTGACTTTATTCATCCACTTGTTCAGCAAGTGATCACATGAAATGTTGGAAGGGTGTGGTATCGAAAAAACTTTGACCAATCGAAACCCCTATGAATTTTGATGAATATTAGCTGAACAGTCATCATCCATCATCCATCTTCCTAAGTCAGGCCATTATCCATTGTTAGTGTTTGCTATCCAGGGTGTTGGGGAGGTGGGATAAAACCCTAACCTTAGGCACTTTCTTTTCCACACGCAAAATATCTTAGGCTCAGTTTGTTTGGACATTTGCACCAGTGTAAATGCACGAGAATGCAAATAGGCTGTGCATAAATTGTGGTCTATTTTAGCTTTAGATTTGAATTTATATTATTTATTTGTGAGAAGTGAAATGAAGTGGTACCCACTTTACATGAAAAAGAATGGAGGTCTGAGGAGGATTATTTGTTTGGGAGTGTGATAGGAAGCAAAATGATGTGGTCCCTCACTTCATATGCGAGAGAATTGAGGGATGAGAAAGGTGATGCAAATTTTGCATCAGATTTTGTTTGCAATATTTGTATGGCCAAACTATGAGATAGGAGTTCAATTCATGGTAACAAATAAATGGATGCAAAACTGAATTGGGTGTGAAGTTTGTATCTAGTTCGGATTTGCACCATAAACAAACTGAGATTTTGACACCCGCATTCTCATGCTTGTCAGCCCAAGGTTTTACTACCATTACACCAAGCAATGATCCATTCTCCTCTTTTTAAAGCAAATCCCATCCATCTTGTGTGAATGGTCAACTCTAGTGTGCTCTCGTGTTGTCTTGACAAGGTTGAAAACTCAGTGGACCCTAATTATAGCTAACCAACAAAAAGAAAGATTTCAAGTGAAAAGCAAAAGGTATAATCTTGCCAAATCAATGGGCAACTTTCAAAATTCAACTTAATCTAGGTGAGTGTGGTTGTTACTCATAACTTGTTGATAATAGTTCACTTTTGATGCTTTGTGGGCCTCTAAATGAGCTCATATTCATCCCCTCTTTCCACCCCAAATTTCACTCCAATCCATTAACCCTCAATAACATTTCTTCTCTACAAATGCAATTGGTCCCCAAAAATGATATTTTTAGAGGATTGTCGTTGTCTAAGATCCCTCTTTCGAGAAAAATGGAGAGATGATGCAAATCTTCATTTATTCTTCATCAAATACGGTGCCCTTTGGATTGGTCATGTGTTTAATGTGACAGCACACAGCATTTCTATAGTTCTATGCCCCACCATGTGTTTGATTTTTCTCCAAGAAACTAAAACTGTAGATTTTAAAGCTTCAAATTGAGTGAGAAGAAGAAAAAGAAGGTAATATGTCAAAACATGTGGAGCCTGTTTTGGCTGCCACTTGAAAAGCTATCTGTCTAGGTTAGGTCACCTAGAACCCTCCCTTATCTGCACAACTTGCTTCAAAATGAGAGCTCGATTAATAGTCATTATCAATGGGAATATATTTCATAAAAAAGCCAACATTTCACTATTAATATTATTATTTCAGAAACATTATATCCGTTACATCCAACAAAGAAAAGTATAAATCTAGTATAACTAAAACAATATCTGTGGGTAAAAGATCTAGTGGAAGGCAAATATATACATTAGTTAATGGTCCTCTCCATCACAAGTCAATACCTAACTTCCTTCCTCTTTCTGCCTTCCTCATAAAGGTTTAACTATTGCTCCCCTTTTGCCTTCCCCACAGAGAGCAGGCTTAGGAAGCTCGAGGAAGGAAATGCTCCACAAGGAAGTCATCGGAGACGGCCATGTTAGCTCTAGGGTTGTTATATTGATGAATAAAGGCATCATCGGAGCTATTTATATTTGAGAACATATATTGTTGTTGTGGCTGTTGTTGTTGTTGATGTTGCTGTTGTAGCTGTTGTTGGATGTAATGATGATTATATCCTGTTGGTATTGTCATTGTTGCCGTAGTTGTAATTGAATCATAAGAACGATTGTCGACCCCAAAATTAAAATTGAACGTACCAACTTGGGACCCGGCCGAAAAAGGCGTACTTGGAATCCCAGTGAATTGTTGAACCATAGCTCGGAAATTGGTTGTGTCTGTGTTGAGGAGTGTGGTAGGAGCCCTCCTAGAAGCCCTGGACCTCCTCCGGTTTGGTCTTGAGACACGACCTTCAGGGTTCAAGGCCATAGTACTGCTGTTGGTGCTTGAATTGCTTGAGCCTGTAGGGTTCTGCGTCACTGTGCTAACGGACGTAGCAGTTGTGGTGACCGCAGTGGCGTCGGAGACTTGGTCTGACATGGCCGGCGGCACTCCCTGTCCGGCAAAGTTCCGCTGATAGAACCTCATCCAGTCACTAGGATTTGACATTGTATCATTCAAGGCCATGGATGACTTAACTCTCTCTTTTGTAAGAAGGAAGGAATAAGCAAAATCAACCTACATATATATAGAAACTTGGGGATCCCTTTGGTGAAATACTGGCCGTTGATCCATGAAAAAGGATCTCAATAAAAGTTTGAATGGCACGTCAGCTGAAATTTCAACGTTTCTGTGGTTCTGGAATCTTGGGGCTAAAGGGTGTCTGGTTTCCTGGAAGCTACACTCTTGTACCAATGAACTCATCCTCTCAAATGTGGACGTCAATAGCCGGCTCGTGGTTGGTGTGACCTTGTTAGTCTTTCCAGAAGAGAGAGAGATAGACTTTGGCCATACGTAAAGACTTTGTTCGAGTTAACTCAATTGACTCACTGGGTTATAACACGGGTTTTGGTATGGATATTTAAAAATGGTGAACTGCGTGTTGGATATTTAGGGTCCATTTGGCTTGTGGGAATAGGGGTCTGAAATCAAAACCAGAATGTTCTATCTATTTTAATTCCAATCAATTTTTTAAAAAATGACCTGGAAATAAAATCATTATGGCCACCGGTTTCTGGGTCGACGGTTCGACTGTCCGTTTTAAATAGATGATTTGTTTTGATAAATAAATTAAAAAATAAAAAAATAATAAGGACAAAAACCGTTGAATGGATCAACGATTTGACCGTCCGGATCAATGGATTATTGACTTTTTCAATGGTTTTTGGCCAAAAATTGGATTTGAGGTAAAATGGAACTGGTTGCCTGGACGGTTCCCAAGCCAAATGGTTCAACCATCCAGATCAAAGATGATTTGAAAACCTTGATTCCAATTATTTGATTGGATGAAATTGGAATCCCATTTTCATTTCTGGTGGAATGCTATTCTCTCATTTGAGGGAATGGACATCCCCTCCCCCTCCTTGGAAATAAAATTCCATTCCAACTGCTTTCGATTCTGATTCTGATTTCCATCTGAATGAAACAGGCAAGAAGAATAGAATCAACAGACCATTCTAATTCTGATTCCAACTCTAATCTAAAACCAACAGAAACCCTTATTGAATTTTCACACCCAGAGATCAGCCATGTGGATTTGACCCTCCCGAGTTGACCTAGCCGATGAGTTCAAACTCACTGTAGGGTGGGACCATTAGGCCATGAAACAAGGCAGTGATCAGCAAAGCACTTCATTATTCATCACCATTTGTTTACATTTTTTCTCAAGAGGCAAATGGGCAAACTTCTTTTAAGACAAACTCGTGATCCAAATACTATTAAATAATCTTAGATTAGTGTGAACCTTCATTTTATAAAGATTGAGTTGTTGTGTGGATTTGTAAATATATAATTATATTCCTCAGCATGGAATAATTAATTAGCTTTTCTCTTTGGATCAGTGTGAATCTTGTTTAGCTTTTCTCTGTTATTTTACTTTATTTAATTATAATTTCTAGGTCGGATCAGGGTGCCGAAAACTTAGTAGTCATGTTTGAGAATAAAAATCTATTTAGGGGCTCACCCAATCGTTTAAGTTTTTAAGTTAAATAGTTCTTTTGAAATGATATCAAAGCCTATTTGATCAAATGGTCAAGCGTTTCGATCCTTTTAACATAAGATATGGGTGGCCTTGTAGTTGTCCATGCTTTAAACCTGGTGGGCATTATATCCATGTTAGAAAATAAAATCTATTTAGGGACGTACAAGCTTTTAGGTTGAACTGTTCCTTAGATGTCTTCCATTTAATTAAATCGATTTCATGCACAAAATTAATGACAAAATGAAGTAACCCTAATTAAATTAAATTTTATAATTATATATTTTCTTAAAGTAGCTATAATGCGCTATGTTAATTATTCTAAATGATATATTTTCCTTGTATTAAGAACTTTCATAGTTGGGAGAAGGAATGAACACGTGATAAGGAAATAAAAGAGATAAAAAGAAAGAAAGAAAGACTGAGGCTAATTAGGGTTAACAAGTTTTACTGCCAGTCAAAGGCATTATTAACTCATGTTATAATATGAAGATAATGGTATTATAGTGATTTTTAATTATTTTGACTATGTTACATTAAACTTTGGCTAAGTAGTAATTCTTAAATAATTATATGATATATTATATATATTTATTATGTTTCATGGACCCATTTTTTAAATATTCCTCTATTTTGTCAAACTTTTAAATAAATTACAAAATACAATGCATTAAATAAATGTAAAGTTTCTGACTATATTGGTAAAAAACTAATAAAAAAACAGAAGAGAATTTTCTACGGTCATACCCTTGTTGTCATTATCCAGAATCAAAATTATATGCGAATGGTTTTTGTCTTTTTCTTTTTTTTTGGTTTTATCTCTTAATTTTCTTTGTGCAGTGTGGTAAATAAAAAGATTTACAGCAATCACTTTTCTTTCTTTCTTACTTTCTTTCTTAATTAATTTTCTTTTTTACTTGTATTCTCTTTCAAGAAAAAAAAATTCAAATTAATTTGGATGGTTTATGTTATGCATACATGTTATATATTGAATAAATACTTTCTTCTGAATTGAGGATCCACGATTATCAGTGACATCTTTAACATTGTTAAAGCCTTCAATGATAAATACATCAGGTAAAATATGAAAATTTACCTTGTGAAATAATAATCAATAAAAAAATAGGGATTTTTGGACTGCAATCCCCCTCAGAAATCTGAATTACAACCCCCTCCTAGTCTACTAGTAACCCCCTTATAAACCGCATCCTACCCGTTAATTTGTCATCAATCCACAAGCAGGATTCATCTGACCTATACCGTATAGATTAGATTTCTAAGGTGGATTTAACTATAAAAACCCCTAAAAATAAATATCATGTGACATCTTTAATATGATTGACTGAAATTTAGATGCAATTCAAAGTTGAAAATACACTATATAGCTAGACTCCTAAATTAATCCAATAATCAGAGTATTGTCTGATGAATCCATGAACCATGGACATATATACAGTGTCCACATGCATGATGTGGATGTGGGTCATACATAGGAAAGGAATCCAAGTCTTACATTGCTATCAAATATATGACAAAATAGAATCAATTTGAGCCACGGAATGGCTGATGAAATCTTTGACGTCTGATTTGATGTGGGTCTACATGTGGGGCCATGTTGGCATCATAGCTGACGTGTGAGTGAAAGAGAAGGCTAACTATAGCTGGATTTAAGGCTAATAATCAGTCAAAGAAGAGCATATATCTGCTAACAAAAGACTAAACTAATAACAACGGTAACAATAAGAAAGCATTCAAAGGAGTGTCAGAAAATTTATTTGACTGTCTTTGTGTCAGTTCAAATGAATCCATCAATTGCTTGATAACCGGGAAGCAAATATTGACCATCTAACCACCACAAAAAGCAATAAACAACAACTCTTGCTGTCTTTGCTAGGCGATCACTCATTTTCAAGCTACTAAGAGGAATATCATGGAGGGATGACTCAGGCCAACTTAGGCTGTCCATCAGATGGGGAACTCTTTGGATTCATTATTTCATCACTTGTTTGTCAGTGCCTGAACAGTCCAAATTATCTCTTTTTTTGATTTCATACTATACTTCCCAAAGCAATTCTAACAATTCAAGTTTTCAGTTTAAGGATTACAAAAGAAAAAAAAGGGGGTTTAGAGGGTGTGTTTGTGTTTGTGTTTGTCTTTCCTCTTTCTGTTCAATGGCTTTGTATTATCAAAAAAATTCCATCTTAACCCTTCAAATAAATAACCATTAACCAAATAGAAGAGATCAAAATCTACATTCCACAAATACTTCACATGCACATCTCAACATGCATTGAGAACATCTCCCAATGCACGGTTGAGAGATATTGTGGGGTGCAGAGGTCAAAATTTGAATGGACCTGGCTCAAATGCCTCATGAGCCCAATGCTAACTCGAGCCACTCTCATGAGCTACAAATTATATTATAAGTTAGGATCAAAAGAAGAATATACAACATATTAGTCATCCGGTTTGGAGGTTGGTCATACCAGATCACATGAGCCCAAAGTAATATAAAATGCTAACTCGGGCCACTCTGAGCTACAAACTATAATATAAGCTATGATCAAAAGAAGAGTACAACATATTAGTCATCCAGTTTGGAGGTTGGTCGTACCAGATCCCATATCAACTAAATTTTTAACATGCCGGTCAATTAAGATGAACATGTTTGTTATCTAAATTTTTAATATGCGCCTTCTTAAGTCAAGACATTTTAGTCCATCCCTGCACTGATCCTTGTGGCTGGGCGGGTTTAGGGTGAGGCATCCATTCCCCGTTGGGGATGGGGAATTCTTAAATTTTTTCACACAGAGGCATCTATCTAAATAAATCTAATTTATGGATATTTTACAAATAGGATATGGGACTTTGGAAGTATTTTAGGAATTGGATTATGACAATTTGGAGGTATTTTATAAATAAAATTATGGGATCTCAGGATTATAAGGATACGAGAAAAACTTAGTGATATTTTAAAAATCAATATTAAATCTATGATTATTTTACTAATTTACCATCAGGTTCGGGGAATTATATGCAAACCCCATCCCTAATTTGGGGCAAAAATATTTTCCTTGTCCCCACCCCGACTCTGCCCCGTCCCCATTTAGGACTTGAGAAAACTTGCCCCGTTCGAGGCGGGGCAGGGTAGGACCGTAGTTTTACAGGGAAAATTGTCATCCCTACAATTCTTATAATTTTTTATAATTAATTAACTAATATTAAATTAAATAACAACAAATTACAATATTTTATGATAATTTCCGAAAAATTATTGAAATTGCTATTGATTAGTAATAATGTATAGTAAATTACTTTTATAGTAACAATAATTTAATGTAAATTATTTACTTTTTAAGCCTAAATTTTTTACTATTAATCAAAGTAAATGTAATTATAGTAAATTAATGTAATTATGGTAAATTACATTATTTTTAATTAAAAATAAACCATTTGTTGTTAATTAATGTAAAACCAGGTATGGTTGAAGTCAACCAAGTGGTCTAGATCGGTGTAGATAGACTTAATAAT